TTGGAAGCTCTTCTGTAGGTGTGGCCTGCTTTCCAGGTCTACTGGTGGAACCACTTCTAACCGGTTCGGTAGATTTGACGAATAGGTGAACTGGTAGGAACCCACCTCTGGCTCAGACCCAAAACACAGCTGCCACTCCACCTGGGAGAGGACGGGAGGCCCTGGAACTGGCAGACATTTCACTCCCTTTACTCAGGAGTGGGGGGCTCCTTACAGTATTCTTCCTTGAATCCAACTGATTTCTTTTCTTTTAAACCTCTTCTCTAGGAAAGCTGACAGCCGAACAGATCAGGGCAGGTTATCAATCACTTCAAAAAGTGGAAGATTGTCTGAAGCACAACCTGGCTGCTTCCTCCCTGCTGGAAGCGTGCAATGAATTCTACACCCGGATCCCCCATGATTTTGGGTTAGTAGCACCCATTCACCACCTTGTAGTTTGTAAGTTGTCCTGGAGAAGAAGAAAAACCAGTCTCCTTTTGGCACTATTCTCATACTTTTCTATGCAGATGATCCTCAACTTACGTTCTTGTTGTGATCTGCTGGCAGCTAGCAATGGAGTCAGACAATGAGGAGGTTGGGGAGGAACACGGGCCAGTCCTGAGGCTGAGGAAAGCTCAGATGAGGGCTCTGCATCAGAGGCAGAGACGGGAGTTAGAGAGCAGTGAGGCAGAAGGGACAGCTGGAGTAGTCTGCATATGCCTAAAGCTGCCAGAAGAGAAGAACATCTAAGAAAGCAGGGTCGACTTAGGAGTAAAGCCACACCTTGGAGGTGATTGGCCCCTCCCAAGGGAAGCAAAAGAGGAATAAATGGGGAAGTGGGCTTTTGCAGAAACAGTTCATTCAGTTGTTTCAAGAATGGAGTGTTCTGTTTGTGACTATAAGAGACCCTCTGCCAAGTTTTGCCTTCGCCTGCGTCTGGAAACTAGTTATCTGACCGCGCTCCCAACGAGATAAGGTTCAGGTTGATAAATGTTCCTCGGAAAGACTGTTTGCTAAGCCTTGCTGACTGTGAATGAAACGAATTCACAGTCGTGTAGATAGAAGGGGTTTTGCCAGGACCAAGACTCTGCTTCATGCTTTTTAAGGAAACCTGGGTGTAGAACAGTTGTGACCTAGGCTTCACAAAATCACGAAGCAGACTCCTTGTCCCAACAAAAACCCCTTTTATTAAGCTAATGTGAATTACTCTCATGCGCATCCAGCAAAGCCCTGGCAAACAGCCAGAAAGCATTTCTCCCCACCCTTCCTTATATGTTCCAGAGAAACTAGGTAGGGTCATTTCTGCAATGCGTTTTCCATCCTTTTGCCTTTGATGACCGAGATATCCCTTATCTGACACTTGCCCTAGCTCCAGCTCTTCCTTCTGTCTCCCAAGGTTATTCCCACAGTCCTTTACATTTTTCCACTAGAATTTGATGATCCAATCAGAGGCTGGAAACCAAACCATGTGCCTCCCTCATTGAAGAAGAGGGAGGCACACATTTGTAACTAGTGCTCGTGAGAAGGTCCTCTTTGTGGCTGCTACCTCCCCAATCTCTGAAGGTCTGAGGAGGGCAATTCATCATCTTATTGCAAAAAATTTTAAGTGTTTGCTCTCATTCTCTTTCTCCTTTGCAGGCTGAGAACACCACCACTAATAAAGACCTTGAAGGAACTCCATGAAAAAGTACAGCTGCTAGAGGTAAAGGGAGTCATATTTAATTGCTGAAGGAAAGAAAGTTGGTGTGGGGACATTCTGGCTATTAAGATCAAGGGGAAATGTAGTTCTTCAGCTTCTGTGCTGAACTGGAAAATGAAAAACATGTCAGTTCTTCAAGAGAGAGATGCCACAGGATATCAATAGTGCTGTTTTATTGTAGTACGGGATAATAAGAATCCTGAAAATCTTTTCATGTTTCTGTACCTTGTCCTCCTCCATCCATCCATCCATCTATCAAATTGTGTTTGTGTGTGTGTGTTCCAGCATAACTCTGGAACGCCTTCAACAATTTCAACCAAACTTGACGTACAGATTACTTACCCTCTGGAGAAAAATATTGTGGGGGTAGACACTCCTATAAAACTTCAGGGTGTGTGTTCTGTTCAGATACAGGTTGTTGTGCCTTAAAATGGCTTCTACTGTACTGCCATAAAATGGCTTGTACTGTGCAGCGCAGTGGAGTTGCCATGGTAATGGGTTCACAGTACTCCACAAGGGGCCTCCCTCTGGTAAAGGGGAAAATCCAACATTAGAAATTATGTTTGGTCCGGATGTTTTCCCCCTATAAATAAATACCCAGATAATGCCGGATTAACAGCACTAGTGATAATTAAAAACAAGGTGGACTTGAATTTCTTTATAATTTTTTTTCAAGTTTTAAATTAAAATTGCTTTTCTCTTTAATGGTTCTTTCATACCATTAGGTCATCCCTAAATTATTTTACACCAGACAGATGGGACAATAAACAGTCCTCAAATTATGACAGTAATTGAGCCAATTACAGCTGTAACTTTCAACTAAGCTTTTTCCAATGTGACAAATTCCATGTATTTTGGGCACCACACACTTCATGGTATTGGACCTGGGTACTTGAGAGACTGCCTGCTGCCAATTNGTGCCATAGTCGTTGAATTTCGATTTTTAAGTCCTGGTATTATTATTATTATTATTATTATTATTATTATTATTATTATTATTATTATTATTATTTAACTTTCTAGTGGGTAAGCCAGGACAACACACCCTTATTCCTTGCTTTGGAGATTTGGCGAAAGCCAAGGAGATCTTCACAAAGAAGTGAGTCCCTCTCTGAAAGTTTCTGCAACATCCTTATCCCACTCAACACCGTCCCTTCTCCCGAACCTGACTTTTTTTATTTTTATTTTTTTGCTTCTTAGATTCCAAGACAAAACCAAAAATGAATGGAGCAACCGTGCCAACTTCCAGAAGGTCTCTGGCAAATATGATCTTGTCCATCTGGACTACGAAGTCAAAGATGATGTAAGACTTTTTGGCAGGAAAGAGCAGAGGGAGGCAGCTTTAGAAAGCAAATATATTTGGCTCACAAGACCTCATTTTGCATTCCTTCCAGAGCAATCCAGAAGCTGCCCCGGAGGCGACGGTCTCCAAACCCAAGCCAGTTTCCCAGCTGGACCTAAGAGTTCAGGCTTTGATAGAGCTGATATGTAACATTCAGACGATGGAGGAAATGGTGACCGAGATGAAGTACGACACACGAAAAGCTCCATTAGGTACGCAGCTTGTCCCTCTTACCCTTAGTTTTAATGTATTTAATGAGGTCAACTTGTCCAAACAGCGTCACCTTTTTTAGTAGAGAAAGTGCACTAGGCTAAGTTATCTTTTAGAAAAAAATGAGAAAGGTTCATGGCTTAGGAAATCTTAATTGAAAATAAACAAGAGGCCTTGATTTAGCAATCTATTCGGACCTAGCCTTGGCAAGTAGTGATAAGATGTTTATTCGCGAGTAAAACAACCCCCCTATTTTTATAACAGGGCAGCAACAGTCTTTTGTTCAGGTGGATAAACAAAAAAAAATCAAACGTAATTAGTCCCAACAAACCTGGGTTTAGCCAAGAAATCCAAATTTCTTGCTGTAGACCAGAAACAAATGGTTGTGTGTGACAACAGGCCACTCCCAAATTCCTACTATTTATTTCTCAGCCACGGGAGGGGTTGGCTAGCGTCTGTGTCTGCTTTTCCTTGAGATCCAGCTTATTGTTTTCCTTTGCTCTCCTCTCCTCCCTATGCAAATGTGCATCTGGGATGGGCCTCATCTGTTCCTCCCCCTCACCTAGACCAGACCAGTGGTGGGTTTCAAAAATTGTTCGAACCTACTCTGTGGGTGTGGCCTCCTTTGTGGGAGTGGCTTGCCACCCATGTGACTGGATGGGAAGATGCCGATGACACTTGTCAGAACCACCTTAAATTACCTCACGCACAGCACTGGCGTGCATAAGAATATGATGTAAACTTGTTTTTTAAA